ATAATAATAATAATAATAATAATAATAATAATAATAATAATAATAATAATAATAATAATAATAATAATAATAATAATAATAATAATAATAATAATATATTTTCCACTCACCAAAATAGCAAAGTTGAAGAGATTATCAAACCTCTTTATGTGAGAACCGCTCACCCAGCTTTATCTACTTTGATGGAACTCTAATTTTCCAAACATAATAATAATCTTTTTCATTCTCATTACACAATATTTATAAATATTTTATAATTAATTGAGTTAAAATAAAATCAAATAAGGAAGGATTAGAGCTAACCCACTTTACAAGGTGCAAAGGGGTTGTTGTACACCTTTTAGAGAAGTTTAACCATCTCTTTCAATAAGGAGGTTGGCCATACTACTTGAGAACTAGTATTTTTTATTTATTTTAACTACCATTTCAATTTAAGTTCATTTAAATATTCCCTCCTTATGATCCTCCATTATATCAAAATCCAAAATTCAAACATTAAAAGATTTAATTTTTATGGATTTAAATTTCAATTACAATTACAATCATAAATAGTAAATCACAAATGCTTAGTCTTTTATACCTCTTAACACACATAAAATAGAAATGATGCTTAAGACACAAAAATAAAAATAAAATTCTACTTAAGTGCTTTCTTTGTGCTTGTTATCCTAGGTCCTTGTATTTTCTTCTTGGATGTGGAATTTTGTGAGCTATTGGGTGTTTGAAGATTTGGGATGCACACAATCAAAACATAATCACAAAAATTGAATACTGGAAACTGGATGGATGTTTTTCATAGTCATCAAAGTGTATTATTATGATGTTATCCAAAAAAAAAAGGCATCCAAGAATATCATCATTGAGTCATCTTGCAAGTTGATTATAAGGAGTTTGTAACCATCCTTTGGGTGTATTGAGCTATGATTCATTAAGTCAACACACATCCTCCACTTTCTAGTGACCTTCTGAAACATCATAAGATTATAAATTCTATCAGGATGTTGTAACTCCCTGATGAACTTAGCATCTTTTTCACTTCCCTGCTTAATTGGCTTGATGAGCATAATGACTATCTTTTTAATTTTTTTATTTTATTTTATGGGCCTAGCATCTCTTCTCATATTAAGTTTGTGGTGGGTAGCTTCTTAATCAATGTATGACATCTAAGCTCTATCCACACAAAGACATCGAGATCATCCCTAAGAACTTGGATGAGCTCCCTTTAGTGCCTTGAGCTAAATGAGGTGCTTATTCTCAATATTCTCTCAAGCTCATCATTTACAGTCATAACCTCCTTAATTGCTTCTATAATCTCTAGCCCTAATCCTCTTTCAACATCTAGGTGCAGTACCTCCTCTAAGGAGGTTTTCACCTTCCCTACCACTTTCAGGTAGCATGCTTGAGATTGTATGAGGTCACCCCTCATAGTGATCTCTCAGTTGCCAAGCGGAAAGTTGACCGCTACATGACATGTTGAGATGACCACGCTAAACGAATTCACAAGTGATCTCTCAAAGATGACATTATACATGGTTGGCGTGTTCTATGATTATGAAATATGTCATTACAGTGTACTGCTAGTCACATTCACCCAAAGTGATCGATAGGGATATTACTTATATATCCCCGTGCTCTCCTAAGAAGCCATAAAGGTGGCTTAAAATAGGGGTGAGTTGAGAGACAAGAAGATTTATTTTATCAAAAAAGATTTTAAAATGATGTTAATTGAATTCATTATGTCCATCAATACACTACCAACCTGGTAAGTGATGACCAAAATCATGACGACCATTGCATCATTCTAAGGGTTCTCATTGGAGGGCCTATTTGTTTTACAAAATGTGTCTGGGTGATGTCGAATGTTAGCGCCCACAAGGTGATGGCTAAGTTAAATTCATTAATTAAGGCCTTTTGGGGTTACTCGCCATGGAAGGCTCAGCTAATTCTCCTCCCATGATGATGCTCACCAAGCCAATAATTTAAATAGAATAAGCAAAAATTGGCTCATTTCCATTGGGACCTTTTCTGGGAACCAACTGAAGTCAACAAGTACAAACTCCTTTAGTTTACCTATCTTGGTTGAATCCTTAAAAAGTTCATGGAGGTGTTAATATTCTCTGGTGTCATGGTCATTGGTTTTGAGAAAAGGCACAACACCTTGATATGTCACTAGTGTGTGCACTCACCTTCATAAGCACTGGGTGCTTGAAAAACTATTTATTCCCGTTGGCCTTACTAGCTCAACCATTGCCTCTTGGAAAAGAGTGATTGTAGGATAATTGGGAGTATGGTGCATACATCCTCACTAATAGAGGCAAGTGGCGTGAGGTGGCTCCTCCATCCTCGATGTAAGTGGTTTGATAATTCTAAGCATCCTCTCCTGTGGGGGTAGCCTTTAGTGTCTGGGTGATGACAATCATATGGCATCAAGGGCATCCTATCAGTTCGTTGGTTCCTTGAGTGAATTTTGTCTCATTCCTTACCACACAACTAGTCTTTCTTAGTAGTGAATTCTCTAGGGCGAGTGGATAAGAAAGACTTTACCATTTGATTGTATTCCTTAGCATTTATGTGGTTTTTGGCGGTTCAAAAACTTAGCAACCTTCTTTAGCTACTATAAGCCTAATACTTAACAGAATGAACTCTCTCTTCATCCTTATATTAGAGCAGTTTGGGTGATAGCTAGTTCTAGGTCTTTAACCTCATGCGTCTCCCTCTGAAACTTGCCAATGAAGTTTCATGATGACTCATCAGGCTCTTTGTGTATCTTGAAGAGGGCTTGCAAGATCTTATGAGGCTTTTGGGCTCTCTGTGAATTAAATCATAAACTTCTTTCTGGACTCTATAAAGGAGATGATCACTCTTACGGGCAGGCAAGCAAACCACTTGAGTGTCAACTCTTTAAGGGTTGTGAAAAAAAATTGACACTCGCATGTTGAAAAGCCTTCAACGAAAAATAACCAATTCAGTAGATCCTGCTAGAGTACTGTCTTAAGTGCGTCCTTGGGTAACCCTACTAAGGCATCTTGGATTGTCTTACTCTATCTTTCTTGCATCTCCATAATTATGACGTGTGATATAGTTTGAGGCATCCATTTCACTAATGACTAGGGGTTGAGTTGTTCGTCGAGTTGTGCATGTCTTCTAGTCACAAGCATCAATCTATGCCCAACACACTTATTAGGACGTAGGATCCATATTTCATCATAGAAGATATCCGACGTTACTAGCAAACAAACTAAAAAGGCTTGACATGGAAACACAGTGTGTATGGAATGAAGAAAAATATTTTTGGAACTAAAATATTTCACTAGCTCAATAAGACTTGTGTTATATGATAAAAAATATTCAAAATGTGCATATTTACCTCTTATTTATAAGGAATCCGAAGACTACAAAAAACACTACACCAAATAAGCTAAAAAATGCATTGATAAATAAGGCTCGTTACATATTGCCATGGATAGGTGTCTCAATCAAATAAGCACTTCATGTGATCACTATTCTTCAGCTCAACTCTACAATCTTGGTGCTAGTTCCCTTATGTCGAGTATTCATGGGCGAGTCAATGAAAGCGAGTCCTCAGATGGGTTCAACTAGATAAACAACTATTGATGAGCCCTTTAGCAACACTGATGACCAATTTGATACAAAAGGGCAAGTACACTTAAACTATAAAAGTAGTGAACTTCATGGCTAGCTGATCATGATAAAATTTTTATCTTTCTTGAAGTGATCCTTCTTTGTGGCTAGGTTGGCAAATTTCATTGATGGTTCACTGATCATTGTGATGGCAAGTCGCTTTGAAAGGCTACTTTGCTGGTCCTCACAACTATATAAGACTACCAGGCCTTGTGATATTCTCTCTAATCTGAGAACACTTACTCAGAGAAACTAAGGTTCCGTTTGGGACAACTTTCTTATTACTTCTTAAAATAATTTTTTAGTACAAAAATTAGATTTTAGCTTCTTAAAAGCTGCTTTACGAAATAGTAAAAAAAACCTTCCTGAATGAAACCTTAATAAAAATGGAACAAGCAACAACCACGAGCATCCCAAATAGCTTCACAGCAAAGATCATGGATAAACAATGAACATTCAATCATTTAAATAAATTAAACAAACGATCAAACATGAATAAAGAGAAATTTTGGTGCTTTCCTCCAGTATTAATTAATATACATATGAAAAAATTTATTTGATCCTTCACAAATCACTATGCTTACTCCCTTCCCACTGGACAATCATTAACTAGAATACAACAAAAAAGGTTCTAAGAATGTCAAAGGACAGAAACTGACTCTCCACATAACAAGCCTTTGAACATTCAGGATTCTGCTGGTGTAGATTTTAGGCAGCAACACCATTTATTCTGCAGTAAAAAAGATTTTTATATAAATGAGCCCAAGTTCTTATTAACATAAAAAGGTCACTTGAATGATCAGGATTTTTTTTTTTCTTTTTAGAATATGGATAATTAAACAATGTCATTGTCAGGTCCCGGGTCTTGGATGAGAAAAATAAAAGGTTGCGTTAGGTAGTCGACAACCAGTGTAAAATTTATCGAATAATGGAAAAAAAAAAACCTACGAAGTGGGATAAAAGTTTTTTTTTTGGATAAAGGCTTGATGTTGTTTTTGTTGTTGTTGTTGTTGTTATTGTAGAATATGGCAAATGAATGTGTTATGAGCTCATTTGGTTGATAGGGGATAGAAAATGTGGTCTAAAAATATATAAATTTTATTTTCGTTTATTTTTTTGTGAAAATGAAATCATTATACTAATGTTGGCTTTTAACTATATTCAATTAAACAATGACTGAAAATTTCACCTTTTTTCAAAATATGGATTCTACGTCCGAGCAACTAAGGCTTCATTTGGGACGGCTTTATTATTGCTTTTTAAACTAATTTTTAGTACAAAAATTTTAATTTTTGTATTAGAAACTGCTTTAAGAAGCAGTAAAAAAGCCATCCTAAACGAAGCCTAAATGAGCTTCGAGAAAAGAGCTAGACGTGCATTAACATAAAAGAAATGGGCAACTCACTGAGTGAGATTTGGCGGTGGCATGAGTGGTTCCATGTTTATCAGACACCTCCTTGGAGGGAGAGTTGGATCCTTGAATGTTGCTTCCAGTCTTGCGCTCATCCCTGGCTTTGTTGAATATTACAGTGAAGCTCTCTGCAGAAGCAGGGTCGTTGACATCCCATTCACCAAACTTGGGCAAGGGTTGGCCTGAGTCCTGGTGGAAAGAAAATGTCAGTTTATCAATACAGCAAATTGAATAGTTAAATCCGAATATAATGAATATGGCAAAGGGGAAAAAGGTTCAAAACATCAACTTAGGCTTTGTTTGGGACGGCTTTCTTATTGCTTCTTAAAGCAATTTTTTAATTAAAAAATTAATACTAAAAAGCTGCTTTAAGAAGCAGTAAGAAAGCCGTCCCAAACGAAACCTTAATATCATCATCATTGATCTTATCCCAACAATTTGTGGGATTTGGGGTCAGCTTCATTAATGATCACTTTTTATTTGCTCATCCTGACCACAGCATGGGGTCTTTAACTAAATTTTTTGAAAAAATAAAAATAAAAATCAAAGTACTTAATCCATGCTATCTTGAATTTTTGTGAACTGGCTCACCTGACAATCAAAATTAGCATATGCCTTAAGAGACAGGTAGTCACGGCAGATAGGCAGTCCAACGTGTGTCTTACGCTTCGTTTGGGACATTTTTTTTGTTACTTTAGCTAATTTTTAATATAAAAATTTTCAAATTAAAAATTTTATACTAAAAAAGAACTTTAGAAAGCATTAAAAAAAACTATCACAAACAAAATCTTAATGATATATCAGGAGATGTTTGAGCACTTGTAAATGCTTATTAAGGAGGCAACAGATGTGTTGACAAACTTGGTTTGATATCATGACGGACATTGTTAGGCATTGTAAAGAACCGATGATGTGGCAGTGCAATACAAGATCAACAAATTGTTCATTCGGTTGGTCTGTCACAGGCTGCTTGATGGAGCTTGGTGTGAGTACAGCTTTACAATTTGTCATTCCAAAGTGTTTAGAATGTTTTGTATACAGGCATTTTCATTAAGATGAATCCCACATTCAGTAGACTAACTTGAATACCCAAAAAATGTAATGAATCTCCCAGAATTTTCTAGAAGAACTTCTGATGGAGACTATCAAATAGACAAGAAAAGATGGATCAGAAACCCTAATGATTGTAAATAGTCAGAGTAGGCCGCAAACCATAGTCGAGAAGCTGGTTTGAGATCATTGATTGCTTTATGAGAAGGCAAAAATGATTACGAAACTAGGAGTCCTTTAAAACTTGGGGTTGTGATACAAACATAGTTTGATTTAGATTATCATTTAGAAAGGCATTTGAAATATCTAGTTGAATAATTGTCCGATTCTTGTTAAATCCATCGTAATAAGGATTAGAAAGTTAGCATTTTACCAACAAGATTGAATGACCTTGTGTAATAATGTCGAGTTCTTGTTTGTATCCTTGTGCTACAAGTGGAGCCTTATGTCAACAATGGATATCGACATGACATTTAGTTTGAATACCCATTTACATCCTAGGATGTTTGGATTGGGAGAGGTTGGGATAAGAGCAGTGGGATTATGAATATGTTGAGGGATATAGGATTTAAGCTGTGGTGAGGCAGATACAAGAGGTTAATTAGTTGGAATAGCAGGAGCGGCAGGCTCAGTTAAAGGCTTTGGTAGACTTGAAGTTGGCATAAGTATTAGTGGAGGGAAAAGCAGAGAACTAACAAATGAACGTAAGGTGGAGAAGCAAAAATTACATTAGCATACTTAGGCTTCGTTTGGGACGGATTTCGTACAGCTTCTTAAAACAACTTTTTAGTATAAAAATTTTAATTTTTTACTAGAAAGCTGCTTTAAGAAGCAATAAAAAAACCGTCACAAACGAAGCCTTAGTCTCATACACCCAAACCACCATACTTCTAATATAAGTATATAGCAAGAGTATAATTACAAAGAATAACTAGTTACAATCCAGCGAGAAAATGCTGTAGGAGATTACATCATTAGACGGCTAGGATGAAGATAGCTTTAGATTATTCTACTTTATAGCTTTATCAGGATAGTTATAAAGCCCATGCCCCATGACATCAAGCATGAAAATGCATGCAAGAATCTCTGAAGTTTTTTGTTTCAGCTTTTGGGTTTGGTTTAGATCCCAATTCTATTGATATGATTTATTAAGATCAAATGAAATTGAGGGAGAACCTGATGCAACCAATAATAAGCAACCTATCTAATATCGCCGCCCACGACCTACAACAATAGCACTCATCCGAATTAGCAAAGGTGCACATCTCGATCTCCATCGCGACATCTCTGCTTTCGACTTGCTTCCTCAAGGCCTCGACCTTCTCGCTTAAACAGTTCCACTGGTAATTGATCATAAGGCTATTTAGTACCTACTAATTTTTTAATTAAAATCATAAAAAATTATAAAAGGTTTTTTTTTTAGTTTTTAGTAAATATATTACCCAGTTAACATGAGAAAATTTGGGCAAATAATTTTATTTATACAACCCTAAATTTTTGTGGCTCTTTTTCCTTATAGCATATATAAAGACTGGACATTTTTTGTTAAGGTGAAATTTGTATTATTTGAGCATAGTAATATTTTTTAGAAAATGGTTATTAAATATTTAATATTTAGTCGCATTTTTTGAAATGTGTGAATAAGCAACCCATTCTTCACTTTTTGAGCTTTCAGCAAGCCCATTTTGTCTGAAAGGTATGGTCAATTCTAACGCAAGAAGAAAGAATCCAATCTAGAAGTAGACTAAACAAATTCAAGTTAAATGCTATTTAATTGCGATAATGAGATAAATGGAGGTATATCTTGACTTTGTAGGACATCCAAAGGCAATCAAATGTAGAAGGTTTCTTCAAATGTTTTAAAAAACGAGAGTTATATTTTATGAAGAAGGAAAGAAACAATTGAAATAAATTTTATGTGTAGAACAAAATGAGAGAGTGATAGAGACTACTAAAGAATCCGATATTCATGCTTTCATGAATTATGAAAATAGATCATTGAAATCAAGTTCTGAAACAAAAAATATTGAAATGCAACTAGCATTGGGTTAAAGCCCCTAAGATGAAATGCTCTATGGATCATTTCCTACATAAAAAAAAGTAGTAATATGGATCGGCTCTTAGACACATTTGTTATCATGAGGAGAGTTCCTCTACTTCCAAGAGAAATAAAAGCAACAATGAAGGATGTCGAGAAGCACAAAAATATTTGTTTGAGAAGAATTGCACTCGAACATCTCCGAAGATTGGAACAAATCTAAATTTAGAGTTGACTATAACAAAAGAAAACTGAGGAAATATTCTCAAATCTCAAGACAATTTTGGAATGGTGTGACCTATGCTTTAAAGATCACAAGCCCATCAATGAAGATATTGAAGTTGGTAGATTGTGACAAGAGGCCTCCTATTGCAATATTGTGACAAGAAAAATGGAGGTGCCAAACTTAGTCAACCATTTCATTAAGATAGCTATTATCATAACCTAAAGTAATTCGACAGGAATAAATCTAAAATATAGGCAGATGGATAATTAATGGGGTATATGTAACTATTGGTAGGTTAGTGGGAAACCCAAAGGAAAGAATGGCCATAAATTAAAACTCACTATTTATAACCATGTTAGTGGTATATTTGCAACTAAGCTTGTCATCCACCAAAAAAGGATAAGAAGTCTCCAGGTATATTTATTAATTAAACTTTCATATAGTATATATATATATA